CCTACTAGGGATGTGCTCGCAAGATACATGCCCTTGACCAGAATCAAACCTGGGACCCTTGAGTCCACAGGCCAGCGCTCTATCCACTGTGCCAAACTGGTTAGGGCAAGGGTCCAGTGTTTTAAAGGGTGAATTGTTAATATAGACCAGTGATGGCGAACCTTTTGAGCTCAGTGTATCAGCATTTTGAAAAACCCTAACTTAACTCTGGTTCCGTGTCACATATAGAAATTTTTTGATATTTGCAACCATAGTAAAACAAAGACTTATATTTTTGATATTTATTTTATATACTCAAATGCCATTTAACAAAGAAAAATCAACCAAAAAAATGAGTTCGCGTGTCATAGGTTCGCCATCACTGATATAGACAGTCAGGAAGTGCCGGGGAGTCTCCCCCATTGGCCAAGATGGTGCCGGGGGAGGGGCTTACACTGAGCATGCCAAAACCTGGAAAGATGAATGATCTGGCCCTGAGCATGCCAAAGCTAGAAAGATGGATAGAAAAAAAGCCTTCCCCTACCTATTACTATAAGAATGATGGGCTTGAGCAGGAAGGGGGATGGTCTTTGAGATGGGAGTCCACCATTCTCCCAGGTCAGGGCGCCTGAATAAATCTCTTTCCTTCTGCACCAGCACCTGTCTCCCGAATTTGGCTTTCCTTATGGCAAGCAGCTGAACCTGTTTTTCAGTTACAGCTTCAGCTTCTTGGAAGACATTTTTCCCAAAGCCTCCTGGTAGGGGCGGTAAACTCTACTTTTACAGCATCACCCTTCACCCTCATCTGGGAACTGACTTGGCCTCATTTTTTGTTGTTGTTGCTATTCCCCTCATACTCTCCCCCCATCTTTTTTATCCTCACCTGAGGACATATTTTTATTGATTTTTTTTTTTTTAGAGGGAAAGGAAGGGAGAGGGAGAGAGGGAGAAACATAGATGTGAGAGAGGAACATTGATTGATTGCCTCCTGTACACACCCCAAATGATAACTGAACCCGCAACCTAGGTATGTCCCCTGACTGGGAATCAAACCCACAACCTTTCCTTTTGGTGTACAGAATGATGCTCCCACCAACTGAGCCACCCAGCCAGGGTGATACTTTTGACAGAGCAAATCCTCCAGTATCTTCTGGAGAAAGCGTACATGAGAGATTAGATTACATGTCTGAAAATGTCTTTATTCTACTCTTATACTTGATTAACAGTTTGAACTTAACGTTGTAGACTAAAGAGCATTTCCCCCTGAACTTAGAAGGCGTCATCTTCCAACTTCCAAAGTTACTGTTGAAGTCATTCTGATTCTCCATCTTTTGTATAAAACTGGTTCTTACCTCTGGAAGCTCCCAGGATATTTTCCTTGTTCGTAGTTAATGTTCTGAAGTTTTGTGAAGATGAATCTTGGTATAGGTCAACTATCCATTGGCTATGTACTTGATGGGCCCTCTTATTCTGGGAACACACATCCTTTTTTCCAATAAATGTTTTTGTTTTTTTTAAATATATTTTATTGATTTTACAGAGAGGGAGAGAGATAGAGAGCCAGAAACATCGATGAGAGAGAAACATCGATCAGCTGCCTCCTGCACACCCTCCACTGGGGACGTGCCCGCAACCAAGGCACATGCCCCTGACTGGAATCGAACCTGGGACCTTTCAGTCCACAGGCCGACGCTCTATCCACTGAGCCAAACCGGTTACGGCTCCAATAAATGTTTTTGAATTTTTAAAAAGATTCTCTCCCCCCTCTAGTTCTCTGATCTTTCTCAAACTTAAAAATTAGGTTCTTGTTCCTAGACTTTCTTAAAAAGTTATTTTCTTTTGCCTGGCCAGTGTGGCTCAGTTGGTTGGAGCATTGGCCCATGCACCAGAGGGTGGCAGGTTCAAGTCCTGGTCAGGAGGCAGCTGATTGAGGTTTCTGTCTCGCATCCATGTTTCTCACTCTCTCCCTGGAAATCAATGGAAATGTGTCCTTGGGTGAGGATTAGAAAGAAAAAAAAAGTTACTTTCTTTTATTTTAACTGAGATTATTATACTTCTTTTTTCCCAATAGATACCATTTAACAATAAGAGCTCTAATTGTTTGAAATTGATTTAGCTTATAATGAGAAAATCTAAAATTGTGCATAAAGTCAGAAACGTAAGTACTGCATGTAGAAAGAAAGGGGCTCATAAAAGGAAAAAACAAACAGTCCCAAACAGACTGGTTCCTTTTGGTACCTTAAATACAGATAAGTATGTCAAGATAGAGACACCAAATCTTTTGGGAACGCTAATTATCCTATATAATAAAAGCTTAATATGCTAAGTGTCTGGTCAGCCATTCAACGAATCAAAGCATATGCTAATGATATGCTAAGGCCGCTCAACTGCTGACGTGCACTGACCACCAGGGGCAGATGCTCTAATTGGGGTCTGGCCAATCGGGACTGAGCGAGAGGGGCTGGATATGCTCTGGAGCCCTCCTGTGGTCCCTCCCCAGCTGGCCAACCTCCCGTGTCCCTCCTTGGCCCTGGTGCACCAGTGGGGTCCCTCGGCCTGGCCTGTGCCCTCTCACAATCCGGGCTGAGGGACCCCCACCCCCCAAGTGCACGATTTTCATGCACTGGGTCTCTAGTATTACAGTAAAAGTGCTTGTTTACTTTTGCACAGTGGTAGGACTGTTCATTTTTTTTTTTTTTAATTGATTTTTTACAGAGAGGAAGGGAGAGGGATAGAGAGTTAGAAACATCGATGAGAGAGAAACATCGATCAGCTGCTTCCTGCACATCTCCTACTGGGGATGTGCCCGCAACCCAGGTACATGCCCTTGACCGGAATCGAACCCGGGACCCTTCAGTCCGCAGGCCGACGCTCTATCCACTGAGCCAAACCGGTTTCGGCAGGACTGTTCATTTTAACACGTCTGCTAACAGGAGACATCTGAATTTGAGACCAGATGGGAAGAAACCACTTTATTTGTAATATACAAAATGGAACTTAATACATATGCGAAAACAAATATATACTGCAAGCCACTTCTCTGGGTTCTACCAGTGTCCACTTTGTCTAGGTTACATGGTTACCCCAGAGACTAGAAACACGAATAGCACGCACAAATCCACTCAGAGAATATGCATATTCTGCCCCGCCCCCAAGTTGCATATACTTGTGTAAACATTTGCTGATTGGTAAAAGATGTCCAGCACTGCAAACAAATGTGCAGGGGTCGGGGTGGGAAGAAATGAAGTCACTGAAACAGCAAAAAGGTAGTTTACCTGGCTGGGTCATCAAGGTGGCGTTCAATAAATTCCCACAGTGCCTCGAATGAGGGGGAGGGAAGAGGAATATTCAGACGCAATGGTGTTTGTTTTTCCCCTTCTAACATTAATAAAACCTTTACTTTTTTTTTTTTAATTGATTGATTTTACAGAGATAGGAAAGGAGAAAGAAAGGGAGAGAAACATCAATTTGTTACCTCACTTATTTATACATTCATTGGTTAATTCTTGTATGTGCCCTGACTGGGAATTGAACCTGCAACCTTGGTGTATCGGGAGTTGCTCTAACCAAGAGAACTACCCGACCAGGGCCAAGCCCCTCCACACTCTTTCCCACCGGTAGTAAAACTGAAAAGGATTTCACAGACCAGTTTAAGTTTAAATTTTCTTTTCCGAGTCCTCTGAATAACAGCAGCTCTCAAAACCCTACTCCAGCTTAGCGGCTAACCAGCAGTGTCACTGTGAAGATTCTACCTTTCAGAACTTCAGTTTCTCCATCTGTGATTGGAAGCCCCAGATGACATCCCCAACTCTGCTTATCTAATCTCCCAGACCTTCATCTGTTTCTTCATTGAAGATAGTCTGGTATTTTCCAGTGGGACTGGACTGTCCTGGGTATTTGTAGTGGTGGTGGGGGGGAGAGGGGACAGGGGACTGTTGCTTGCATGCTCAGCATTTGTGGAAAAAGGAGATGCCCTAGCCAGCTTTAGAAGGCACAAAACTAGGTTTGTTGTTGTTGTGTGTGTGTGTTCTTAGTGATAGTCAGGTCTTTAAGAATCTCATCTGCCAACTGAGCATTTCCCACCAACACAGGGAGCAGAAACCTTCACAGGCTTCAACCCTTTGCTCAGGCGCAGCCTTTGTGGGAGCCCTAGCAGCAGCCAGTGCTGTCTTATTAGGCGCTTGCTTAGCCTTTTTTGCTTCCTTGGCAGCCCTGATAGCTTGTTCTCGTTGAGCTTTCCTAACTTCAGGTTTCTGGTTCCTCTTGGCCATTATATCAGCAAGAGATGCACCAGTGATGGCCCTCTGGAATCTGACTGCACGGCGGGTCTTTTCTTTTGAATTTCTTCCGACTGTCCGTTTTTGTGCTTTCTTCCATAGAGGACAGTCCAGTTTATCTGCCTAGGATTCCTCTTGGAAAGGAATGCCGACTCGCATTTTGCATTAAGAAACGGGAAAACCTTCCCATCGGTCCTGGCGTAGCACCGCCCGTGTCCAGGGTAGATCTTGTAACTGAAACCGCAGAGCTCGACCTTTTTCATGGCTGCGGCCGCCGGAGCGCAGGAAAGATGGTGAAGAGCACAAAACTAGGTTTTGAAGATGAAGTAAAGTCTTCTTCTGGCTCAGGAGGATCTCAACATCCTACTGATCATTTCACTCTCAATGGTCCTTAGAGAAGCATTTGCTTAACTCTACACCCAGGCCATCGCGACCTCCAGGAGGAGAGGGCACCACCTTCGACATTAAGGCCATGTGGGCGGGTGGGTGGAGATGCAGGGGTGGTGGTTCAAGCCACTCCAAACACTGCATCATTAACTGCATGGAAGACCAGAGCTGCGAAGAGTGAGTGCAGTGACCGGCCCTCCTTTGTTCAGTTACTGAGTGCCTACTCTGTGCCAAGGCGCGGTGTGTTTGAGCCCTGGAGGTCAGAAAACTGCGAGAGCTCATGCCCAGAGCTTAACACAGTAGGTCTCAATCAAGGGTTAGAGCAGAGGTGGAAAACTATAGCCCAGGCGAGCCATCTGCTTTCAAAATAAAGTTTTATTGGAACACCAGCCACGCCCATTCACTCAAGAATTGTTTATGGCTGCTTCTGCTCTACCATAGCAGGGCTGAGCCCTGAAGAGCATACGGCCTAAAATATTTACTATCTGGCCCTTTACAAACGTTTGTGGATCCCAGTGTTAAAGGAAAGCACTAACGCATAACTAAGAACTGAGAGAGGTGATCAGGGAACAAATGGTTTGCAAATGAAGTCTAAGAGAGGGTGGGGGGCTGGCTGAATTAACGACAACAAAGGAGCATGGATTATATGAGGCTTGATTACTCTGAAGAGATAAGTCACAGTAAAATTGCTTGGGACTTAGATTTAACATATGCAATTTAACTGCATGCAACTGGTTTAAAACAAAAACTACTACTTGATCTGCTGCAAGTGGAAAAAGAGCTATCGGCCCCAGCTTCTAAAGGGAACTGGCCGTGACAAGCCCACATGCAAACGAGGGATAGCCACTTAGAGGTCCGCCCAAGGACTGACCCAGTGGTCTTGGCTCTGCTTGGCTTTTCCTCCCGGGCACACTCTGGCTTTTGAAACCAGCTGCACAGGTTCACAGCTCCACAGCAAGGCCCTCTTTCAATGAGAAGGTCAGAATGGTTTGTATGTCACACTCTGTGTTTTAAACAAATAAAGAGAAGCTCCTTAATCACTTGGAGTTCATCAAATCAGACTGTTTTCTTTGCTATCTGAAATACAAACTGAAATCATTCTGATATTAATTGAATTCTTTTTTTATGTCTTAATCCTCACCCGAGGATATTTTTTAATTGGTTTGTTGGAGTGGAAGGGAGGGAAACAGAGAGGGAAACATCAATGTGAGAGAAACACATCGATTGGGTGCCTCCCGAAAATGCCCCCACCTGGCCGAGGATCAAGCCTACAACCAAGGTATGTGCCCTTGACCAGAGCCAAACCCAGGACGCTTCAGACTGAGGGCTGATGCTCTATCCACTGAGCCAAACCAGCGAGGGCTGAAATCTTTCTTTTTTTCTGCTTCCCGATAACCCTCAAAAACAATGGCAAGTGCTCATGCCAAGTGGCACAGCCTTAGCCATCCTCTGCAGGCTTTCCCATGTCAACGCTGCTCGTCCAGCAGCTTCCCACTCTCGGGCTGGGGGAGTGAACTACGGGTCAGGCTGAAATCTTTCTGAAGAAAAAGCTCATTATGTACAATTAGCCATAGCCTGGCCGTGTGGAAACTGGTCAATGAGTGTTTATAGTTAGTTCTTGCCGCCTCGCTCTCCAACGTGGCAGATAAATCTGAAGTGCTGCTGCTGCAAGCACCTGCTGGGAGTGACCGGAAAGCAGGCTCGCTTCAAGCAGAAGTTGCCAAGGACAGGGCTGGACATCAGCTGCCGAGAGAACACGAGGGGATCCTGTGCCAGGGCGGCGGGAGCCACTGTGGGTGCTGCCCGAGATGCAGAGTACATGCCGCTTGGAGGGAGGGCTTGGCCACGCCGGGCCACGGTCCCTCCCTGTGGGAGCCTTAGGCACACCCCCCCCCCCCACACGCGCTGACGAGCGCTCAGAGGCAGGAAAGCGTGTGTACAAACCACACCTGTTTGAAGAGCCCCTGTAGAAACCATGCTTCAAAATGGAATTCGGCTGTATTCCAGAAAATCAGTTGCATTTCAGGAAGGAAATTAAACTAAAAGGTAGAAAACAGTCCTTGTGCGGGTCCTCCCCCTCCCATGGCAGAAGAGGGCCTGGGCGTTGTACCATCTCACTTGCATGGAGCAACGCCATGCATGCTTCCAAGTGCTGAGAAGAGAGGCTGTGCCCTACGCTGGGACCGTACGCCCCCACGGAGAGTTCACAGGGCGTTCACAGGCAGCAACACATTCCTCATCCGACCCAGGACACAGGTCTGTGGGCCCGAGATTGCAGTCCAGCCTGAAAATGCTGGGGAGCAAAGTCCTAAGATTTTCCAAAAGCACTTTCTAGCATCTTGTGACAAAACAAAAGAACCTCAAATCCATATGCCGGTTCATTAGGCTGCTTTTTCAATCCCCACGCCCCCAAAACACCACCCTGGGGACAGCTATGTGTCTTTGCTGATAGCAAAGACGTTTTTATGAGTCAAAGAATGACGTACAAAAGTTGATGTAAACACACTAAAAATACCCCAAATAGCCCCTAGATGAGTTGGTGGGTCTTTTCCCCTCTAGCCCTTGTGTGGGCACTGGCCCAGGTGATCTTCCTGGCGCGTTACTCCTCCATCTGGGCCCAGGCCTCCTCCGCCTTCTGGTAGTACTGGTTGGCCAGCCGGCCCTTCAGGGCTTCCATCGCTGCCTCGGCTGCCTGCGTATACAAGTCGCCTGAAAGACAGCAAAGTGGGCCACAAACAAATGAGCCACCTGGTGTTTTTGCCAGCCCAGTATCCCCTCCCCTCCCTGGGAACAGCACCCCAAATATTACTAACTCCCTCTCCCTCCACAGGACCTGGGTGGGGCTCTGGGAGGTCATGCGATCAGAGTCTGGCCAAACAAAGTACCCTCCTCATTCCCCACCAGGCCGCAGAGATTGGCCCAGACTGAGGCACAGCCAATCAGAGGAAGCCATCTCAATGACTGGCATGAGGGCTGGGGGGTGCTTCCATCTGAGCCAATGAGAAGCAGGCTGAGGCCTTTGCAGGGCCATTTGGAGAAGGTATGCAAGGGGAAGAAACAAAGATTAGAAATGGCCCCATGTCAGTTCTGGACAGGTTTGGCCACCAAGTGAATTTGTGCCACATGAACAAAAACTGTTTTTTCAGAGCTTCTGAGATTTAGAAATTCCAAATAAGGAATTACAGAATCGCTTATTTTTTATACACCCTTAACATTTTTTTTAAACTTGGTCTCAACCCCATACCTGTGAAATAAGAGAAATAAGGAGTTCAGTATGTTTATTATGTAACAGAAAAAATATCTAATGTGTGCGCCAACTGCTGAACGGATACACAGAATATAGCACCTCTGTACAATGGAATATTATGAGGCAATAAGAAGGAATGAAGTACTAACACATGCTACAACACGGATGAACCTTGAAAGTATTATGCTCCATGAAAGAAGCCAGACACAAGAGCCACATATTGTATGATCCTCTCTTTATGAACTGTCCAGAGTAGGTAAATCCACACAAAAAGTAGGCTAGTGGTTTGCAGGAATGAAGGGGGGCAGGAGGCCACTGCTCCCGGGGACTGGCTCTCTCTGCGGCGAGTGGAAGTATTCTGGACTGAGATAGTCGGGATGGTTGCTCAACATCGTGAAGGTACTAAACACCACTGAACTTGTACACTTTAAAATGGTGAATTTTAGGTGATGAAAATGTCGGTTCAATTGATTTTTAATAGTAAAAATAACCCCAACACCCTAAAACCCGAGCCCCTGATATATAACCATTAAAATGAAAATGCTCATCTGCACACCAGCTCCATGAAGCCCCCCTAAGCCCGCGCCTGTGGGTCCAGCCTGGCAGAATGAGGGCCTGTGCATCTGAAAGAGGAGCCGCATGCAGCCTGTGTCTTGCCGGTGGGACAGGAATCATGCGCCTCCTGCCCGGCCCGCCCGCCTCAGGGGCAGGTCTCCCGACCTACCTGACCTCTGCGGGTCCTTCTGCAGCCGGAAGCCGCCCACAGACAGCATCTCGGCCTCCCTGGCCAGCAGCGTGTACCGGGGTTCGTCGTGCACCCCGTCGTACTCACCGCCCTCGTCACAGTCTGTTTTCTCCAGGGCAGTGCTGTACCAGTGCAGGGCCTCTGGCCAGTCTCGGGACCTTGCAGGGGATAGAGAGGAAAAGAGGGAGGTTACCACGGCAGCCGGGCAGGACGGAGAAGGCCAGCGGCGGGAGGAGCAGGTCCGGGGCCCCAGGGGGCCGCCACCTGAGAGTCCCGACTCAGCCCCAGAGGCCACCGCATCGAAGGGGCACCGTCCACACCTCAGGTTACACATCGATGAGAGCGCCGTCTCTCACTGTCCCTAACGGGGCTGGTGCATCCCACGGCTCTCCAGCAGGGGTGTGGGGCGTTTTCCAGTTTGAACACGATAGCACCCTGTGGGCCTGCAGTAGCAGTGGCTGGTACCAGCCAGTCTGTCCTATGACTGGGTAAGAGAGGAGGTGAATGGGTCCCCTGTGCCAAGGCCTCAAGGTCACGTGAGAATGGTCACCTTGTGGCCCACCTCACGCTGGGCCTGTGCAGCCGGCACCGGGCAGGCTTCCGGGGAGGAGCCGGCTCCCTCTCTGCTCGGCCCCTCTGGCCTCAGCTCTTTCTCCTGCTGCAGCACGTGAATGGCCAAACCACGCAGGTTCTAAGCAAATCTAAACACACAAGACCGAGCAGGCAGGGTAGCAGCTTTCCCTTTGGGCGCACTAACTGTATCCGGGCACGTGAGCATTCACAGCATGCCGGCAAAGAGCAGAGAGACGCCGTGAGAAGGCCTGTGGGTCTCATGAGCGTTCCGGAAAGCAGCTACCATGACTTGCTGTCCTCCCCTCCGGGTGCTCCCTGGCCTGGCTCAGCCCTGGTTTTAGCTCCTGCTAACCTCCCAATGCCAGGCTTTCTGTTCCGACACACCAGCTCCATCTGCCCCTTGCCGTTGCCCCTGCTGCTCTGTCAGCTGGGATGCCCACACTGGCTCCTCAGCTCTGTGCCTCTTCTTCAGAGACCCCGTCTCCAGACACCGTTTCCTACAATGGCCTCAGTCTGTTTACTCAACGCTGAGGACAGTTTCCCCGAAGACGCCAAAGGCCCAGAAAGGCAGGGCCCGCTGGTGGGTAAACATGCTGGCCAGGACGGCCTTCAGGAGCTAGTCTGACTCCACTTTATTTTACAGAAAAGGGAAATCTTCTGACAATTATTGGGACGTACCCACCAGACTGAGGTTTTGACATTTGTCTGGAAGCCACTAAACCATATTGCACCTCTTTAACCCCCCTGGTCTTGACCCTCCCTGGTCTTGACAGGCAAAGCAGATCTGCCCTGAAACTTGAATGAGGAAGAACGGAAGGGCCTAATATTTCCCGCCCCACCCACCCCACGACGCCACGCCCAGGGGTAGGTGCCCACCCTGCGTTGGAGTTTCCAATGACGTTTCCTCCCCTATTTGGGGGTAACCTCTGAGAAGGTGGAAATTTGGGCCTCCACGGGGCCTGCCTTACCCGAGTGGCCCTTAATTAACGCTCCCTGAATGGAAGAGGCTGGAGCAGCTTGGAATGAGGAAGAAGAATAAAAAAATGACTGTAGTAAAAGCTATATAAAAAAAACTTTGAAAAATTAAACTACATAAATATTAAAAGTCAATGTATCCCCAACCCCATAAACAGCGGTCACGGAGTGACCCTGCCCCCCCACATCGGTAGTAGTTATCTCTGAAGAAAATTTTAAGCCAGCTCATATGCCACAGAGTTACTAGCATCAACATCTGAAAAATTCTTTCAAATCAACAACAGAAACTATCATGTCAAAGAAAAAGGCAAAGTCATAAGAACACACAGGGCAAAGATCTGTCGGTGCCCGGCCCCAGCACCCGCCAGGCTGGGCTTCCCCGGCACGCTCGGTGGGCACCAGGCACACGGCGTCTGATCCGCACAGTCATGCGTGCCATTCTGTTCACCCCCCGTCCGTGACAGTGTCGTCCTGTGACAGGCCACTGCAGGAGGGGCCAGAGACCTGGGCTCCGCTCTGCCACCCGCTCCCATGTGACCATGGCAAGTCCCTTCGCCTCTCAGAACTAGTTAACTCATTCATAAAGTGGGGCCAAACAGGCCCGGCCTGTGTGTGCCAACGAGATGTGTTGGCTCATTCATTCGAACGACCACTGAGCCAGGCCCTGCGCGGCACACGGGGCTGCAGACAGCGAAGACCGTTCCCGTTCTCAGTGAGATAAAACCACCAGGGAAAGAGCGGTCCGATCACCAGGGAGCAAAGAGCAGGCACATGTCGGCACGATACGCAGGCGGCCGCGTGTCCAGATGGTTCAGGCCCTGGGAGCTTAGAACCACGGCCCTGACTTTCCTTCTCACCCAGTGAGAGGGGCAGGAGACCTTGACCGGAGAAGAGGAGCTGCCAGGCTGCGCCCCCTGCGGGTGTAGAGGAGGACTGTGCTCACCTGCTCGCTCCGGAGCCGCGGGTGAGAACTGCCTCTTCCCACTTTCATTAACGCGGCGGGGAGCCTCGCCGGAACCCCCGGAGAACCACAGGGCATCAGCAATGGGTCCCTTTACGACAAGCATGTCAAACTCGTGGCCTGCGGGCTGCATGCAGCCCACAACCAATATTTTTGCGGCCCAGCCGGTAAGTAAAAAACGTTTTAACAAAAATCTCGTAACTTAATTTTTACAATATCCTGTGATACATAATGATTAATAACGAACTACAACGTTCGCTAATGACTGATGACTATCATCGTGTCGCATTCATTTCCCTTACGCGCAGGCGCACCATTTCTCTCCACTAACACCAGCAGCGAATATTTTAGCAGCCAATGGCCACGTCATTAGTCTTGGACGGACTTGTTTGGTGTGCGCAACAGGAAATATGTCGCTTTCAGAGAACAAGAAAAATAGGTTTATTTGCGTTACGCTTATTAATTTGTGCAGTAATTCAGTGTCTGGTAAATTAATGTTCAAGAAAAAATATTCATTTTTATTAAAATGTTCTATTATTTTATGTTAACGATGACTCATTTATTTCAGCCCTCTGTATTTAGCACATCTACTGAAATAAACCTACGTTTCTATGAAAATTGAAGCTTTTGTGTTTCTGTGGCCCACATAAACTTCAACCTTGTTTATTTGGCCCGTGTTAGCCTTTGAGTTTGACATACTTGCTTTATGAGTTTAATTCCCCCACTGTCCTCTGCTCAGCCTGGACTTCTGGGACGACTCACTGGTCAAGCCAAGGAGATGAGATGGAGCCGGGCCACCCGCCCCCCTCCCCCTGCACAAACCCGCCCTGAGCGGCAGCTAAGGAAGAGTGAGCACCTGCAGTCCTGCCTTCAGGAGGCTCAGCCACCCTGGGAAACCCACTCCAGGCCCGAGCTACCCTGGGCTTGCTCCTGCCCCCTCCCTCTCAGAAGGGAAACATGAAAGTAGGCAGAGTGAATTCTAATCACCCAGATCCTACCATCCAGGGACAGCCACGCAGGCCGATGCTGCACATCCTTTCAGACTCTTTCCCAGGAGAACCTTTACCTCTACCGGCTAAGCTGCCGCACGAGCTCATGCTTCTGTGCCAGGCACGGGGAGAGTTCCCCCTCATCTAACCCTCACACAACAATCCTAGGATGCAGGTTCCACAATCATTCCGTTTACACACTGAAGGGCCTGAGGCCAGGGAGGTAAAGTAACTTGCCACGGACTGGAACGCAGCGGGGAGCCGAGCCCGAAACCCAGGTCTGTGCTGGTCCTGGAGGGGAAGCTCCCACCTGGAGCCCGTTCCCACCAGCCCCGCTGAGTGGCGGCCACAGTACCTGTCTGGGCTGAGGTTCTGGCCAGTGTCAAAAGCTCGTGCCACCAAGATCATGGACTGTCTGTCACCAGCGCCAGCCGCCTTCAGTAAGTAATCAAATCCTTTGGTTTTATTTTCTTCCGTCTCCTGTCAATACCAACCAGAGGGGAGAGAAGAGAGATGAGGCCTGCACTGGGGGGGCTGCCAGGGCCACTGACCAGCCTCCTCCCACTGACTGTTGTGAGAGCCGGGGGCTGGGGCTGCTGTGGAATCGCACACTGTGAGGAAGAACGGGCCAGCACCTGGCGCCATGCTCCTTGGGGGCCCACCGGGAGGAGAATAGCAGCTCAGCTCTCTCCTGCCCGTCGTCTATCTGCTCCGAGGCTGCCGAAGAGCCACTCACGTCCTGCCTCCACAGGGCAGGGCTCTCTGCTCCCACTCTTTAAACATTTCAGCAGCTTTACTGAGCTGTAACACATACCACATAATCCACCCAATAAAAGCACACAAATCAATAGTCTCAGCATATTCACACAACGTGCAACATCACCGTAACCATTTCAGACAACCGAAACACCATGCCCTGAGCTGTCACCTCCAAATTGCCCCATCCTACCCAGCTCTGGGCAACAACTGTTTCTCTTTTATTGATTTCAGAGAGGAAGGGAGAGGGAGAGAAAGATAGAAACATCAACGATGAGAGAGAATCATTGATTGGCTGCCTCCTGCAGGTCCCTTATCAGGATCAAGCCTGCAACCCAGACATGTGCTTTACTTGGAATCGAACTGTGACCACCTGGTTCATATGTTAACACTCAACCACTGAGCCACACCGGCCAGGCTCATCTATCATCTGTTTCTAGAGATTTCACTATTCTGGACATTTAATATAAATGTAATCCTATAATATGTGGCTGCTTCTTCCACTTGGCATACAGCATTCAAGGTTCATCTATGTTGTAGCAGGTATTAATGCTTCATTCTTCTTATGCCAAATAACATCCCATTGTGTAGATATACCACTTTTTGTTTATTCAGACCTGGCCAGTGTGTTCAGTGGTTAGAGTGTTGGCCTGTCCACCCAAGGGTCACGGGCTCAATTCCAGGTCAAGGGTTTGCTCCCTGCCCCTAGTCAGGGCGCATGCAGGAGGCAACCAGTTAATGTGTCTCTCTCACATTGATGCTTCTCTCTCTTTCTCTCCCCCTCCCTCCCTCCCTTCCACTCTGAAAAGCAAAGGAAAAAGTATCTCCAGGTGGGGATTAACAACAACAAAAAGGTATCACTTCCTAGTATTTCACTACGTGCCGCCTCTTACCTATGGTCTGGAACCTGTGATTGTGCTGTGGGACTGCCCTGCGCCATGTAGGGTATTCGGCAGCATCCCTGGTCTCGACCCACTAGTGCCAGTTGCATCCCCAGAGTCGCGACAAACAAAAATGTCTCCAGACATAGCCCCGTGTCCCCTGGAAAGAGGGAGGGCAGAACGGCTGGCTGAGAACCACTGTTTTTTGAAACTGTGATGAACGCACCGTAAAACCGTGTCTTCTGCACATTTCCCCCCAATGCCGTGTTCAGCGACGTCATACTTATCATGACATTGCCACATTTACACCACAGCAAGCGGAAATCGCTACAAGTGAAGGTTTGAGTAACTGTCTTTTTGACTGTCTTGGTTGAAAAAGAGATGAAAAAATATTCATGATGCAGATTAACTTAAAAGTGTTGGTGCCTGTCCTTATATTGTGCTGGCACAGGAAACTGAAGAAACATTCTCCAGTGTTATTAGCAATGCAGCTGCTCATATCAGCGGCAAATAAACGAACTTCCGGTTCTGACAGAGATCTTCCTTATTTCACCTTCATCTTACACACTAAAGTACATGAAGTTTCAACCAATATTTATAATGACCAATATTTATGTCAGAATGTCACAGCCCCATCAGCCGCAACCATAAGTGGGTAGCAGATATAAAGTTCCACAAAAAGCAGCGAAAGCATCCTGTGAGAATGCCCTGACTATATAGAATTTACAATAGTCTTTTTAAAAATATATATATTTTATTGACTTCAAAGAGGAAGGGAGGGGGGGAGAGAGAGAGATAGAAACATCAATGATGAGAGAGAATCATTGATCGACTGCCTCCTGCACGCGCCCTACTGGCGAATGAGCCTGCAACTGGGGCATGTGCCCTTGGCCGGAATTGAAACCAGAACCCTTCAGTCCATAGGCCGATGCTCTACCCACTGAGCAAAACCAGCTAGGGTGCTCCACATTCTTTTATTTATTTATTGAATTTATTGAGGTGACATTGGTTAACAAAATTATATAGGTTTCAAGTGTACAATTCTATAGTAGATCATTTATATATTGCATTGTGTTCATCACCCCAAGTGTTCCACGTTCTTTATGTCAGTAACGTTTATAATAAACTTATATACAGATGGTGCACACCTTTCCTCCCACCCAAGAGCCAGCGGGTGAACACTCCCGGCGCAGCACTGGCTGAATGAGCATGGAGATGGGAGACACGTCACCCGTCTGTCAGATCCCCTCCCGGCACCAGGCCTGCACTCACCGTCTAACACTGGCCATAGGACCGGCTGTGGGTTATCTCTGCCCACGGGACCGATAATTGGCCTGACTGAACCGCATGACACTGTCAATATCTGACCATTCCTGACCTACAAACATGGTAGTTTTGTGAAGTTCAACTTCATGTGTACAAGGCTCGTCGCTGCAGCAATTTCTGTGATATTCAAAGAATGGAACCAAGCCCAGTGCCCATCGACAGGGCACAGGTTGGTAAGCACGTGGCACCCATGCAACAGAAGGTCACGCAACTGTGGAAAAGAATGAGGGCGTTTTCTCTACACCACGAGGGGAGCTGTGGATGCTGCCGGTGAGAAAGCCTAGGGCCAGGTGAGTGCGTGGCAGGCTAACTTTGGAGAAAAACAGGGTGAAAATACGCTGTGTTGGTAGAAGGGAACCCTGTGCACTGGGTTAAGCAGTGTCCCTCCCCATTCACGTCCACCCAGAACTTCACAATGGGGCCTGATTTGGAAACAGGACGTTTGCAGATGTTAAGATGTTGATTAGTTAAGTTGAGGTCATCCTGGGGTAGTGCAGGCCCTGAATCCCATGTGACTGGTGTCTTTTTTTTTAATCCTCATCCAAGGATATTTTTTCCATTGTTTTCTAGAGAGACTGGAAGGGAGGAAAGCGGGGGAGAAAGAGAGAAAGAGAAACATCGACGTGAGACACATCAATTGGTCGTCTCCCACATGAGCCCCGACTGGGGTGGGGAACCTGCAACCGAAGTATGTGCCCTTGACCAGGAATGGAACCCAGGGCCCTTCAGTCCGCAGGGCATGACTGGTATCTTTATCAGAGGAGAAGAGACACAGAGATGGACAGAAGGCCATGTGAAGACAGACACAAAGAGGGGAGTGACGAATCTATACGCCAAGGATGCTACAGATGCCAGCACCATGAGAAGCTGGAAGAGACAGGAAGGAGGAAGCACAGCTCTGCCAACACTTAAAAAAAAATGTTTTATTCATTTCAGAGAGGAAGGAAGAGGAAGAGAGAGAGATAGAAACATCAATAATGAGAGAGAATCACTGATCGGCTGCCTCCTGCACGGTCCGAGCCCTCAACCCGGACGTGTGCCCTTGACCAGAATCAAACCTGGGACTCTTCAGTCCGCAGGCCGACACTCTATCCACTGAGCCAAACCAGCTAGGGCTCTGCCGACACTTTAGTTTTGGACTCCTAGTCTCCAGAACTGTGAGAGAATGAATTTCTGTTGTTTTAAGCCACCTAGTTTGTGGTCATATGTTATGGCAGCAACAGGAAACTAATACACTATGGAATTCTATACAACAAACTAAAATTTTAAAGAAAATAAAGGTTTTGATCAGGTAAGATAAACCTCTTACCTATTCAAAGAGTTAAATAAATAAAGGACTTTGGAGTGCCTTCTGGTCTGAGACCCCTCCCCACCGGCCACATCCAGGCCAGTGAGAAGGGCTGTACCCGGCCACACTGAGCCCAGCCTCACCCAGCTGCCTGTCCATCCACGTGCTCGACAAGGGCTTCTCAACTTCTCCGGGGAAAGACTGAGTTTTGTAGACCCTGACGGGGCCTGCTCACTCGGTGCTTTCCTCACTGTGCCCATGGGCCAGGGAGGCGGGGGAGCGGACCTCATGGGCTTCCCGCCCCACATCCCGCAGTCTCAGACCCCCGCAGCCTGCCCTCCTGCGCCTCCTCCACATGCGGCAGTCTCAGACCCCACGCAGCCTGCCCTCCTGCGCCTCCTCCACATGCCGCAGTCTCAGACCCCACGCAGCCTGCCCTCCTGCACCACCTCCACATCCCGCAGTCTTAGACCCCACGCAGCCTGCCCTCCTGCGCCACCTCCACATCCCGCAGTCTTAGACCCCACGCAGCCTGCCCTCCTGCGCCACCTCCACATCCCGCAGTCTCAGACCCCCGCAGCCTGCCCTCCTGCGCCACCTCCACATGCCCCAGTCTCAGACCCCACGCAGCCTGCCCTCCTGCGCCACCTCCACATGCCCCAGTCTCAGACCCCACGCAGCCTGCCCTCCTGCGCCACTTCCACATGCCGCAGTCTCAGACCCCCGCAGCCTGCCCGCCTGCGCCACCGCCACATCCCGCAGTCTCAGACCCCCGCAGCCTGCCCTCCTGCGCCACCTCCACATGCCCCAGTCTCAGACCCCACGCAGCCTGCCCTCCTGCGCCACCTCCACATGCCCCAGTCTCAGACCCCACGCAGCCTGCCCTCCTGCGCCACCTCCACATGCCGCAGTCTCAGACCCCCGCAGCCTGCCCTCCTGCGCCTCCTCCACATGCCGCAGTCTCAGACCCCCGCAGCCTGCCCTCCTGAGCCTCCTCCACATGCCCCAGTCTCAGACCCCACGCAGCCTGCCCTCCTGCGCCACCTCCACATGCCCCAGTCTCAGACCCCACGCAGCCTGCCCTCCTGCGCCACTTCCACATGCCGCAGTCTCAGACCCCCGCAGCCTGCCCTCCTGCGCCACCTCCACATGCCGCAGTCTCAGACCCCCGCAGCCTGCCCTCCTGCGCCACCTCCACATGCCCCAGTCTCAGACCCCACGCAGCCTGCCCTCCTGCGCCACCTCCACATGCCCCAGTCTCAGACCCCACGCAGCCTGCCCTCCTGCGCCACCTCCACATGCCGCAGTCTCAGACCCCCGCAGCCTGCCCTCCTGCGCCTCCTCCACATGCCGCAGTCTCAGACCCCCGCAGCCTGCCCTCCTGCGCCACCTCCACATGCCCCAGTCTCAGACCCCACGCAGCCTGCCCTCCTGCGCCACCTCCACATGCCCCAGTCTCAGACCCCCGCAGCCTGCCCTCCTGCGCCACCTCCACATGCCGCAGTCTCAGACCCCCGCAGCCTGCCCTCCTGCACCTCCTCCACATGCCCCAGTCTCAGACCCCCGCAGCCTGCCCTCCTGCGCCTCCTCCACATGCCGCAGTCTCAGACCCCCGCAGCCTGCCCTCCTGCGCCTCCTCCACATGCCGCAGTCTCAGACCCCACGCAGCCTGCCCTCCTGCGCCTCCTCCACATGCCGCCGGCTCCGGCCGCACCGATCGCCTCCGGTCCTTAGGTCCGCCAGCCTGTGTGCGGCCGCTCCCTGAACTGCTCTTAATCACCGTTTGGCCTTTCGGTCTAACTTAAATATCACTGTATTCACTGATCTCACAAGCAAATCCTAAGCACCTACTATGTGCTGGACTGTTCTAGCCTCTAAGGGCACCACTGGAGCCAGCGCTCGGGAAGCAAGCTGACCCTGGAGCCCCAGGCAGGACCCTCCCTCATTTGTTCCCACCTGTCTCTCCTGCTTCTCCCAGGACCCCTGCTGCACCTGCTGGAAATGGGACTGTCACCTTCCACTCAGTCCCCAGGCCGGAGACCCACCCTCACTCAGAAGTGGGGGCTCTACCCGGTGATCAGACCCCAGGCTGGGGAGGCCGCCACTGGCCCCAGCCCCTCACCTTTAGGGCGACGTCGGCCAGGATGTGGTGGGGCAGCTGCGAGTACAGGAGTCCCAGGCCCACGATGGCCTCCAGCTCGCCCAGGTCGGCTGCGTGCTCCAAGTGGAAGATGGCCGACTCACGGTCCCAGTCCTCGTCCTTCTCACAGAAGCGCCCGCCCTCGTGGTATCGCACCATGGCCAGATGGACCTGCCACACAGATGGGGTGCTGGCTGAGCAGTCTGGGAGGCGACGGCCACACCCCAGGGCCCCCAGCCAGCCTGCAGGAGGCAGTCATGAGCGGAGGTGAGTGCCAGGTTAGCGCAGAGAGGGCTCTGAAAAGGCATCACCGATACCTTCCCCAGAACGGACTTCCCGATTCTCTTGCCAAGGTCCAGAGCATTAAGCCTGCGCACTTCCAGGGCCACGGTGGAAGGCCTGGGCAGGTGGAGGCGGGCGGGGTTAAGGAGGTTCCACTTCTCCACACAGACCTGAAGGGAGAGAGCCGGGCATGGCATGTTTCCAGGCCAGAGAGGCCGGGGCTGGGGACAGACAGGCGTCAACAGCTGTCAGCAGCTCCCACAACATGAGCCTGGCTGGCCCGGTGGGAGCAAACCCTGATGGTGTCGAGTTTTCTAGGACAAACAGGGCTCCATTTCTAGTCACTCAAATTCTGTCAGCTCGTGGGCACCGAGGGCCTAGGACAGCAACGGGACACAAAGGCCAGCAGCACAGACCGCAGCGGCTCAAAGAAGTGCGTCGCTCACTTGTCAGTCTGGGTGAGGCCGGGGAGGCTGGGCCCCAAGCGGCCCATTGGCCCGCTCTCCACGCGCCAGAGTCAGATCCCTCTGCTTTCCTCTGGACATCAACCGGGTGCTCCCGGGAATGTCTCCAAGCTAAACACAGCCCGGTTTTGCCCCACCAGCATGGCTCAGTGATTGACCTTCGACCTACGAACCAGGAGGTCACGGTGCGATTCCCGGTCAGGGCACATGCCCAGGTCACGGTTTGATTCCCGGCTGGGAGTGTGCAGGAGGCAGCCAATCCATGATTCTCTCTCATCACTGATGCTTCTATCTCTCTCTCCCTCTCCCTTCCTCTCTGAAATCAATAAAAATATATTTAAAATATTAAAATAAAAAATAAACACAACCCAGTTTACAGGTTCCTCCAGAGCAGCGCCAGGCGGATGTGTGTGCCAAACACGCGACAACGCACGGGGGCCCCGCAGCAGAGGGTGGTCCAGCTCAGAATGCTGGTGGTGTCACCGTTGAAAACCGTGCCCGTGCCTGGCTGAGCCCTGACCCGACCGGGAAAGAACACCTGGTGAACCCTCTGTGCGCCAGAGGAGGGGAGGGAAGCCTGCGGCGACCAGGGCAGGCTCCCGGCGGGAGGTGTGACTGAGGCCCAGTGGGAGAGCAGCAGCCTGGGGGTGTGCCCACGGGGCAGGAAGGACCTTGCAGGTGGGAGAGCCTCCTCAGTCTCAGGCGGGAGGCGGGAGGCGGGAGGCGGGAGGCGGGCTCCAGTGCTCCCCAGGCAGCTAGCCAAGAGCACGGGCTCCCGGGGGCGGTCCCTCCCTGGCCTGCCGGAGGGTCAGGAGCGCCTAAGGTAGCCAGGAAGCTGGGAGGCTAACAAGACCTGTGTCCTCATCCTGAAATGGGGGCGAGCACATCAGCCTGTCCCCCTGGGTGTCAGGAGGAAGTTAATTAATGCCACAAGCGGCTCTGTGGGCGGGGCTTGAGCAGTGAGCTGTGGCTGCTTGATCGCCCCCCCCCAGGGCGGGTGATCCCGGCTTCCCTCACCCTCCCCAGAGGTCCCCACCGTCCCGCCCAGGCAGGGGCTCAGAAAGTATTTGCCCAGGAGATGGGCTTCTTTGCACCGTTTCCTTTAGGAGATTGTGAGGCGCCGGGCAGGCTGCGGTGGCGTGAGGGGGAGAAACAGAGGCAAGCATGCAGCACGGCAAGGGGTCCTCGGGGAGCTTACCCGTCCGCAGCTGCCCAGGCTGTCTTCGTCCGACTCGTCCCGCTGGCTACCGTTCGAGTGGCCCTGATGGACGCAGAGAATAGAGTTCCAGAGAGCAGCTTCCCCCAGGGCCGGGCTGACCAACAACCTCCTCCCGAGAAACTCCTCTCAGGGACACCGGCCCCCGGGGAAGCTGGCGCCCGCCTGGCAGGCCGAGCGGGTGCTGGCAGCAGGCGGACCATGTGCCCGAGCAGCCACAGCCTTCCTCACGGGGGATCCCAGTCCTGGCTCCCGCCGCATGTCTTTCCTGCAGGACAAGGCTAGACCAGAGGGCTCCCGGAGGCGCCCTGCGGCCGGACTCTGGCATTGGCACGGCTGGCGGGACACACTGTGCCACTGCCGAGGCCACCCTCACCGAAGCCGTGGGAGCTGCCTCGGAAGCCCGTCCTCTGGCTCTCCCAGTGCCTGGGAGCTGGGCCAGCCTCTTACCCAGCATCCTCTCTGTTTAGCCACTTTCAATCCTGTGCCTAACCCCATCCTGGGCTCCTTACTACACTCATTGGTGCCCATTCGCCTGTTTTATCTTGGGCCCTGCATCCATCTTTTCCTGAAATGAGCTTATTTAGTAATTTATTCATCATGTCCTCATGACCCACTTGTGTTCCCCCCACCTCTCTACCCTCCCAGACAATAAGGGAACAGAAAACTGGTCTTATTTCCCAGGAGTTCCCTACCTGTTCTCGGGGCTCTGGGTCATCCAGCTCACCCCGCTTCTCACTGGGGTATCCGCTGTCCCCACTGTTCTCAGAGTCCTGTGGAGAGAAGATGGCCCGAGATCTCAGTGGGCCTTTGAGCGCCTGGGGGTGACATCTGGACATGCCAGCCGTTTGCTTCCTCTCCTTTCCCCATCATCTCACTTAACATCCTCCGCTTGCCCGTGTTGGCTGCATGACAACCGAGCAGCAGAGCTAGACTGCTCGGCTCTGACTTTGGGACTCGCCAGCTGTGACCTTGGACAGCTGCTTGCCCTCTCGGTTTCCTTCTTACGGGGACTCATTACAGCACCCACGTCAGAGGCTGTGAGGATGGAACCAACGGTGGAATCACAGGAAGTGCAGTGTTAAGTGTGGCTCGTCCATTTCACAGGCAGGAAAACAAAGGCTGGGTTAAGGGTTAAAGCCACAGATGAAATGCAGCCTTGGGGCCCATATTACTACAACTCCACCCTCTGCCCAAACCGCACAGGTCACCGGCATATTTTTTTTTTGTTCCAGATCTGAGTCCTGTTCAGAAAGGAATCTGGTGTAATTTACAACAGCTAAGACCACCATAATGTATCTACCAGCCTTGAGTTCTGCATCACTATTCAGCTCCCACTTTCATTACTTTCCTTCTTTACTGAGAAGTATTTCAAACACACAATAGGAGCGGAGACCACGGTGAACACCCCTCCTATCCCCGGCCCTGCCACTCTCAACAGTAGGCCGTAGTTACTTTGGATCTTGCATTTTTATTTATTTACTTTTGTTAATCCTAACCTGAGGATAATTTTCTATTGATTTTAGAGCGTGGAAGGGAGGGGGAGAGACAGAAAGGGAGAAACATCGATGTGAGAGATACATTGATTGGTTGCCTCCTGCACATGCCCTGACTGGGGCTGGGGATCAAGCCTGCAACCGAGGCACATGCCCTTGACTGGAATTGAGGGCCATGCTATAACCACTGGGAAAACTGGCTGGGGCTAGATCTTCTATTTGTAAAAGGAATTAAAACACTACTGTCCAAATGTAGATCTCTAGTGCATCCTGCTCCCCTCCCCCCCCCTTCCTCCTCTAGATACAGCCACTTACGTGGACTCATACTTCTCATTTGTGGTTTTCCTTTAGAAAGCCATTTTATTTTACTTATGTAAGTATCTTTTTAAAAGAAGCTTGGCATCACTAGCTTAAATGTGAAACTTGTCTCACTCCCCGGAACAGGCAGGAGCCACGAAAGCCCACACAATGCGATCCTGGTCCCTGGTCCGGCTGGGACCCCTCCACCCAGGCGCCTACAGGCCTCCCTGCCAGCCTCCCCCAGAGCCTGTATCTGTGTGAGCCGAACGGCTGTTCTGTTGGGTGTGTTTTCCCCAATTTTTAAAATTGAGGCGTTATTTACAGACCCCCAAGCTGCAGTGTTCAGGGAGTGGAGTGAAGGCTCCTTTTGAACATGGACTGCAGGCTGCACTCAGAAGCTCCGGGCAGCCTGCTCCTTGCACCCGTCCCTCCTTCGAGAATCATGACCGAGCTGAACATCAGCGAGCCCCCGGCAAACCCCAGCTCCGGGCCCTGGGCGAGGCAGCCAACCTCTCCAGACCAAGGTCTCTTCACCTGAGGAAAGGGGGGACTACCCATCTGAGATGGAGAGCGCAGGCCAAGGGCAGCAGAGGGTGAGCCTGAGCACCGGCTCTATCGCCCAGTGACCAGGAGCAAGTGGCCAGCCTCTCTTGCCTCAGTGTCCTCAGGTCTGAGTCAGGGATGCTCAGAGGCCTGCCCAGCAGTGGTCATGGGAGGGAGCAGGCGGCCGAGGGCGGAGGGAGCGAGGCATGTCGCGTGCTAATGTCTGTTAAAAGGACGAACTGAAGCATCTACCAAGTCCCCACATGGCGTCTGCCCTCGGTGATGATCCGTGTGTGTCAGCTATTCTTTTTTTCTTCCCCTCAACCATTCTGAAACGCAGCCAAGAGTGAACTTGAACCTTTGGAGCCATCTGAGGGTGCAGTGGTGGTCTGGGCAAATGTGACAAATCTACAAAGTCTGAATTTTAAATTTGACGCCGGGATATGTTTGCCTGAATGCAAATATGATGCTTTCCGTTTCTTACCACTGAGCCCCCAGAGCTGCAAGAACCTGTTCCATTTATCCAACCGAGAGTCCCAGCTGACAGTGCTCCCGTCCCCAGCACAGCTGTCCACACAGGGGCCAAGCCCGCTGAGGGCTGAGATGCAGCTGTCTCTGCTGCTGACATGGTTCCTCTTCTCTAACCAGTTCATGGAAGGGAGGCCCCGGCTCTCTCCGAAAACACTGCTGCTGTGGGCGGGAGGCCGAGATTACCTGTGCCCCTACCCCCTCCGTCGGCCCCTGGCCTGTGCAGAGCAGACCGGGGCTGCCCACCTCGGACCCTGAGCATCACCCTCAGTTCCCACGGGACTGTCCTCTCTGCCCAGCCTGCTCCTCCTGCCTGCTCCTCACCCGGTGGTTGTCGGGCTGGTCGTGATCTTGGGGAGCCATGTTGTCCGGGTCGCTGAACACTGGCCAATCTGGGCAGGAGAAAACACAGACAGATGATGTGCTGGGGCCACTGCTGGAAAGTCCCCAAGACCAAACTACAGCCTAGAGCTGACTGCACCTGGTGAAGCCTTTTTTTATATTTTAAAGATGCAAAAAGAGGGAGAAAACTGTTGTCAGCACCCGGGGCTACAGTTCTCTTTCCTCCTTGAGAACTTCCTCCAAGTCTCGCCAGCTGTGGGCCCTGAGCAGGCGGCTTAATCGGGGTTGTCATAAAGCAGCATGTCTGTAAGCACGTGTGCAGGGCCCGAGGCGGCCCCCACGGGGTGCAGCTGTGAAGGAAGAAAGGCCATTTGTACTTTGGGGACCAAAGAAGCGCGCCATGCCGGACACCGGAGGGCAGAGCAGCGGTGTTGGAGCGTGGCTCTGCTCCGTGACGGGTGGACATGACCATGCTACAGTGGGGGTCAACCTCCCAGGCCTCCATCGCCACAACCCTGACAAGGCCCATATGCAGACCTGGCCTGCTTTTCTGGAGCGCGCAGTGGGGACCCAGATGGCTTCAAATTCAGCCACTTCCTGGAGGGCCCCAGTCTGTCTCCTGCTTTGAGCTCCCCTGAGCCAAACCTGGCTTGCCTCCTGATTTTTTCTTTTTTAAATATGTATTACTGACTTCAGACAGGGAGGGGGAGAGAGATAGAAACATCAATGATGAGAGAGAATCATTGGTCAGTTGCCTCCTGCACACCCCGCACTGGGGATTGAGCCCACCACCCAGGCATGTGCCCTGACCAGGAATCGAACCATGACCTCCTGGTTCATAGGTCAAAGATCAACCACTGAGCGACACCAGCCAGGCTGTCTCCTGTTTTTATGTGGTTTCTTTAAGAATGGTTTTTTCCTTTTTAAATGATTGAAAATAATGAAAAGAGTCATATCTCCTGATATGTGAAAATTACATGAAATTGAAACTTTGATGCCCACAACAGGAGCGCTGGCACAGGAGCCACGCCTGTTTGCGTAAGCCGCACCTACACTGCGCTCAGAGGCGAGGGCAGACTGTGCCCACAGAGCCCACCACATTTACTCGGGCTGGGACGCTGCTCGGTGGCTGAGCGTCAGCCTATGAACCAGGAGGTCACAGTTCAACTTCGTCAGGGCACATGCCCGGGTTCCGGGCTCAATCCCCAGTGTCGGGCAGGAGCGGGCAGCTGATCAATGATTCTCTCTCATCATTGACATTTCTATCTCTCCCTCTCCTTTCCTCTTTCTCTAAAATCAATAAAAACATTAAAACAAACAAACTTGTTTGCTGACACCTGCTCTGTGGAGAGGCCTAAAGACTTCTTTAACTCGGACACCGGAACCCTCTCCCGCTCCGCTGCGCCGGCCCGGCGAGCAACGGCCACACCGTCCTCCACAGCCCCAGAGCCAGCCAGCTGTCACCTCAGCTTCAGAAATGGTGGTTTTTCTCCTGGGACCTAGTCATGTGATGCTAGCCCACTCCCTAACGCTGCGCACCCTCAGATTCCTGTGAAAACCCTGTCTAGGACAGACGTTGCCCTTAAGTTACTAATCGTCTTTATTTGTTAATACCTTATTTAGAATTTCTGCATTACACATTTATGAGTGAGGTCTGAATACAGTTTTCTTTTTTGGTGTTTTGTCAAGCTTTGCTAGTTTCCTAAAACACACTGAAATGTGTTTTCTACAACACGGGTTATTTTACAGCATCCAGATGACCTGCGTCTTGAACTCGCCTGTAAAACCCTCTGGGCCATGAATCTTTTTAGTTAGTGTGTTTAAATCTAACATTCAGGGAAAGCCAGTGTAGCTCTGTAGGCCTGGCACCTGTCCCTCCAATCACAAGGACCCGGGGCCAAGCATCACTCACGGAGGTGGTCCAGCTTCTGGCTGTGTGGCGTGGCTGAAGATGGGGAGGAGGAGAGAGAGTCGAAGGTCACGTCGCTCATGTTCTCGTCTCCAGAGTTCTCTGACAGGCGGAGGAGCAGGGGTGGCCGGCTCCCAGAGAGGGTCCTCACTAGGGGGCTCCCACACTTTTCCTCTGTCCCCCTCAAGATGGTCTTGGCTGATTGCTGGAGAAGTAACAGGGACGTTCAGTCACAGAAGCAACGCTGGGAATGAGGAGCTCCTCTTATCTGTTGTTGCCCTAGGCTCCTATCCATGCCCTTTTAGGGTCTGGTGGAAAATCTAAAAATAGTCAGTGAGGATTAACCCAAAGGGGCATCTGGGAGCGGGCCAGCCAACATTCCTCAAAGCGCGGACCACACTGTCAGCCTGGAGCTGGGGAATTCACATCGCTACACGTCCAGAATCCCAAGCTGGTCTTTGCCAGCGTTCTTGTACCTGGGCCATGCAGGGGGAGGGAGTGGGCACGTCCTCAACACAGCCAGGCGCAAGTCTAGCCCAGCTATTTGTCGACAAACACAACCTCACGCACACGCACACGCACACATCTCTCTCCCAAGCTCTGCTCACCTGGTCTCCTCACTCTGGTAAAAATGGGCCCCAATCAAGCAGACCCCAGCTGCTCTACTAGTGGACACTCAGCTTAGTGCACTGACTTGGGAGGGAGGAGGGGCACAGAAGGGACTGAGTTCCCTCCGGTCCTGATGGTCTTCAATTAAGCACTGCAGGCCTGGGCCGCTGTCACAGTGAAGCGCAGTGTGCTGGCCTGGCAGCAGAAGGCCTGGCAGTACCGCCCCCCCCCCCCCTCACCGCAGGCTCCCGAGGGGCACCCACCAGCAGCTTGGTGTTCTGATTCACTGTGTCCTGCTCTCTCGGTGACAGGTCGAAGGGAGTGAGGCCCATACTCTTGCAAATGCGGTTGCAGGCGTGGGAGTAGAAGAAGAGCGCCATGCCCCGGACACCTGCGGACAAAGCAGCCGTGTTGGGAGCATGGCTCTGCTTTTTGACGGGGGTGGGGGTGGGAGGGGGCATAACCATGCTAAAGGGAGGGGGGCAGGGGGGAGTGTCAAACGTCCCAGGCTTCCATCGCCACAACCCTGACAAGGCCCATACGCCCGTTTTCCTGAGTGTGCAAGAGCTGGGAGAGCTGGGGAGGGGGTGTGGTCTCCGTGGAAACAGGCTTTCTTTGCCCATCTACCTAGGTTGCCATCTCCAAAGTCAGTGCCCTTCTCGGTGTGGATCTGTGGGTCGGTGTAGAGGTCGCCCACACCCTGGATGTCCACCACGATCAGCTGGTGGCCGGAACGCTCAAAGGTGAAGTGGCTGAAGGCCTGTGGGGGGCGGGAAGGAAAAGGTGACAGGAGACCAGGCTGCGGGCACTGCCAGCCCCCACTCGGAGCGAGACCGGACGTGGCAGCCCCACCCACGGGCGCCCTTCTCTGCACAGAGGCGCTGCTTAGAGGACAGCGGAGAAAGGGGTCCTGTCCAACTGGGCAGGGACCTCAGGGGGCTGACAGAGCCGGAAGGAGCCAAGGGTGCCCTTGGGAAGCCCCACCGGCTTGAGGGCTGCAGGGGGGAGACCCTCCCCAGAGGGACCCCGCCCCGGGGCCTCACCTGTGGCGTCAGGCGCGCGTCATCACGGACGAAGCCCGAGTTGGAGTTGTACTTGGTGTACTTGCCCTCGATGTAGTGCTCCAGGTGGAAGAGGGGCGAGCCCGGCCTGTCCTTCAGCTCCACCACACACATCTGCACGATGTCCACCTGCGGGGGCGGGGCAGGAGGTCGGGGCCCGGCGGCAGCTCCTCTGGGGCGGAGTCCGCCCGCAGCTCTCCGAGGCACAAATGCTGCCTGTGCCCAGAACCCACTGCCCCTTTCCTCTGGGAATGGAAACCCCTGCCACGGCCCAAATGTGTTCCCCTCCCCAAATTCATGTTTTAGTCCAGTGGTTCCCAACATGGGGTACATACCCCATAGGGGGCAATTTGAATTTTAAGGGGGGCAATTTGAGAATGAGTTATTAAGAGTGAAATTTTGCACTTTTTATGGTTCTAGGGGTCTCGTAAACAGTATATAAATATATATTTTGACACATTTATGCATTTCAGTTCTCTATTATAGTTTTGAAACTTTATTTGCAATTTTTTTTATCACTTCATATTATTATTTTTTTTTAACCATTTCTAGTGATCTCTTCCTAAGTACTTCAACTGTCCTTTCGTTCTTTTATTTTTCCCTTTCATGGGTGCCATGTTCTTTGGAAGCTTGTTCAGACCAAGTTAATGGCTTTTAGGCTTCCTCCATGTGAATAGGAGCTAGGAGCTCACTTTTTGAAGATAAGAATTCTATGTCACGGGGGGGGGGGGGGGGGGGAAGCATCAGGATGTTAGCGATGCTTAGGTGGGGCGTGGCCAAAAGAAGGTTGGGAACCCCTGGTGTAGTCTTACCTTCTAAGCAGTGGTTCTCAACCTTCTGGCCCTTTAAATACAGTTCCTCATGTTGTGACCCAACCATAAAATTATTTTCGTTGCTACTTCATAACTGTAATGTTGCTACTGTTATGAATCATAATGTAAATATCTGATAGGCAGGATGGTCTTAGGCGACCCCTGTGAAAAGGTCGTTCGTCCGCCAAAGGGGTCGCGACCCACAGGTTGAGAACCGCTGTTAAGGTGATGTATTAGGAGGTGGGCCCTTTGGGAGGTCATTAGGCCGGGGGGGTGGAGCCCTGATGAGTGGGATGGCTCCCTCCTTCCACCAGGTGAGGTCCCAGCCAGAGTGCTGGCTATGAGCCAGGAGGCCCTCACCAGAGGCGACCATGTCAGACTTGGATCTTCGACTTCTCAACCTCTAAAACTGTGAGAACCGCATTTCTGTTGTTTGTAAGTTGCCCAGTCTGTGGCCTTTTGTCGTAACAGGCCAAGTGGACTACGACAACCCCCACCCCTGACTATTAGCAAGAAGACACTGCTGGGCTGGCCTCGCAGCTAGGTGTAGCCATGTGACTGCGCTCAGGATCAGGAAGTCCTGCCGGCTGCTCGTAGCGCGGCGCTCCGGAGGCGCCCAGGAGTGTCTGGGACGGGCAGGCGCTCACACAGCGGGAGCCCGGCACCGTGCACTGCAGCCAGGCAGAGGCAGGCGCCCTGTCCTCGAAGGCCCGCAGGCGACAGGAGCCTCTGCTTGGCCTCCTCTCTCAACGCCTGGGGCTCACGTGGAGACGCCACCTGGCAGGGGCTTGGGAAGCCTGGGTTTCTGCGCCCTGGCTCCATCTCTGCCTGTTCAGGCAGGTCACGCAACCCCTTTGGGACCGTGTGTCCCCAGGAACAGATACCCACTCCCCTCTCCTCCTGCTTTCTCTCGGGAGTCACAACCTCAGTCCCAGAGGACCCACATTCCTGGTTCTACTGGTGGGCAAACAGCTCAGGCCTGCCCAGCCTGCATATTTCCTTCCCCCAGCCATCGTGATGGGTTCAGAGACAGGTACCCGATTTAATCAGAGCCAGTGAAACCCGGTTCTGAGACTTTCACTAGAACTTCTGGGAAAACAGGCGCTGTTTTGCCAGGATTGCTCGGAGAACAGAAAGGAGGCTGCAGCTGCTGGTGGCCGGCATGCCGCTACAAGTCGAGGAGCTGCCCGGGAGGGATGCCAACTTGAGATCGAGGCAGATTCCCAACAGCCGCAGCTTGCTCCTGGACCCAGCCACGCCTGTGGTCAGTGCTACTTCTCAGTCCCATGAGGCAATACATTTCCCTTTTGTATTAAATCCTTTTTGGGTTTCTGTCATTTGCAAACAAAAATCCTGGCTATCAGAGCCCATCTGTAAATGGGATGAAAACATTCCAACCTGGCTCCAAGCGCTGCTTTTAGGAATAAACAACTCCGCACATACAGCACCTGGCCCTCTGTGCTCGATAGATGGTGGCTGTTATTAGCTACTATAGTGAAGGCCGTGAAGAAGGGAACCTGTGGCTGGCACCATCACCTGGTCTCTGGACACTGTCCCTGGACACCTGGTGGGGGCAGGTGGCAAGGAGAGGGCCACGCACCTGCTTGGGGGGCTTGTGCCGATTATACTCCTCTCCCCAGAGCTTGGCCTCCATCTGTAGACGCACGTCCTCAAAGTACACGTTCCCGTCCACCGGCTCAATGTAACGCTTTGCCACGTAGTTGGAGGCCCCCTTCCACTGCTGGGTGTGCAGGAAGTTGGACAGCTTCTTCCTGGGGAGAGGCAGCGGGGCCGGCCTGGGCATGGGCTCATCAGGGCCAGGCCCTGAGTCCTCCGGGTGAGCAGACCTGGCTGAGCCAGGAACAAGACGCGGGAGGTGGGAGGGGCTTCCCTACTGCCCTGCTTCCTTCAAAGAGCTGGGCAGGAGAACCAAGGGACTTTGGTAAAGGTCTCCTAGCCCAATCCCTTGGCCTCCAAGGACCAGAGCTGAGATGCATAGGATACCATTGAGCTCATCACCCCGCAACCAGGCCCAATCTATGGTCCAAGGGAGAGCTGAGGCACTTGGGCTAAAGAAGCACAGACCACTGACTCCATCCCTACGCGGAAATGGCACAACGCCCTTGCCCTCTGGTGCCTGAGGAGGCTGGGCGGGGCCTCGAGAGCCAGCTGTCACTTACGTCCGGAAGCACTCCCTCATCGCTCCACGGCCGAAGGGCTGAAAGACACACAGAGAGGGCCATCAGTCCCCGTGCCCACCAGGAGCAACCCTGAGTGAGGAGTTCTCCCTGGGGGTGGCACCCACCAAATGGACCTCATCTCGATCCTTCGATCTGCCCCTCCCACCCCCGCTTCCTGCACGGCAGCACCGAAGGCTGGAAGAACTGCCGGCCTGGAGGCTGCCGACGGGAGACCCCATTCCCTGACCCAGCTGAGCAGGGCCCCTGGGGGGAAGGTGTTTGGGGCGATGGAGTGGGAAGACAGTGCATGCGGAGGGATGTGTGTCCAGCCCTGTCTGCAGCAGAGCCCACATGTCCATCAACAGTACAGTAAGTCACATGGGTTCACGTGGAGAAATACTGCACAGCAGCGAGAACTTAACTTTCAGGTCCAGCAAAACCAGGTACAAAGCTCACAGACAAAATGTTGAGCTCAAGAAGCCGTACTGAAGGCACCCCTACAGAAAAGGGGTTCACCTGACCTAGGGCGACAGGGTTCAGGCCAGTGCTGACCTTCAGGGGCAAGGGGGCGTGGCGGGCTGAGGGCTCCCAGGCGCTGGGGACATGTGCTCACTGTGAAACCCCTCAAGCTGCACGCTCTCTGCTGCGCATGCACTAAGGAGCTTCCCACAGTTCCCCGCCCCACTCAGAGCAGGAGGCGCGGTCCTTTGCAATCTATTTCTTTCTTCAAAAGGCTGTGGCCAGCCACAGAATTCGTTTCACTCAGTAATAGGTGGCAACCTGCAATTTTATAACTATTTACAGTCAACTGATTTTCAACCAGAATGCCAAGAAGGATATTTTGATATACGATGAATATATGAAATGTCCAAAATAGGGAAATCTATGGAGACAGAAGGTAGCTTAGTGGTTGCCCAGGGCAGGGCACAGAGGGAACTGGGTACTGACTGCATTGGCTCCGCTGGGTACCAGTCATGGTGGCGGCTGTGCCACTCTGTGATTATGCCAAAAGCCCTGGACTGTACACTGTACATGGGTGTGTTGCATGGTGTGTGAATTATCTCATAAAGCTGTTATAAAAAATTAAATATACAAGCCCGGCCTGTTTGGCTCAGTGGATAGAGTGTCAGCCTGTGGACTGAAGGGTCCAGGGTTCGATTCCCAGTCAGGGCCATGCGCAGGTTGTGGGCTCGATCCCCAGTAGGGGTTGTGCAGGAGACAGCCAATCAATGATTCTCTCTCATCATTAATGTTCCTAACTCTCTCTCCCTCTCCCTTCATCTCTGAAATCAATAAGAATTAAGTATACAATACTTTAAAGAATCCCCCAAAGTTAAAAAAAAAGAATGGGTGTGGAGGAGAGAGAACATGAACTGACATCGGCGTGAGAGAGCCCGCCCAGCCCCGCCCCCCGGGCTCGAGGACCTCCTCACCTGAGAGGCCATCTTGATCAGAACCTCGTCCTCCAGCCACTCCCCGGTGACAGCGTTGTACCTGCGGAGACAGCGCCCGCCGGTCCTGTCACTGGCGACGGGTGAGAGGTCTCTCTGGGCTCCCCGCTGCCTCAGGATCGCGCCCACTCTCTACTCTGTGGCCCAGCCGACCTCCTGGCTGGGTTTGTGGGACTCTCCCGCCCTCCCAGGCCCCCCCAGTGGCCTCCTCCCCTTTCCTCAAACGCAGGTGCGCTGGGCACCGCGTCCCCTCAGCACGTCCTGTGGTGCTTGGGCGGCTCCCCGCTGTGACGCCACCCAGGCAGGCCCATGTCTGTCCTGCTCACGAGGGGCCTGGTGTGGTGAATGCTTATAAATGCACACTGGATAAATGACGGAGTAGTAAATGTCCTTATCACCGAGCTACATAACCAACGGTGTGTCCCAGGACAGGAGGCAGCAGTGCCCTCGGCCTTGCCGGCACTGTGGGCAGCCCAGTCCGGGGCGCTGGGTGCCTCCGAGTCCAGCAGGAAAGGGGCGCTGGGTGCACAGCCAGCCTCTCCCTGCCCAGGAGCCTGCTCTCCACCAAGCCCGTCTGCCCCAGGCCCGGCTGAGCCTCCAACAGGTTTGCAGGGTAGAAAGTGCCTCACTCAGTCACTCCCTATCCTGACTCATCGCCCAGGGCCCAGGTGTTCTCAGCTCCACAGAGGCCCCCGCCTGGGGCACAGCCACGAGAAGGCCGCCAGCCCCAGTGAGAACAGCCTCCCAGAGCTGACACCTCCAGGAGGAAGCACAAGCCTGGGAGGTAGCCTCCCCCAGGCCTGACGGGAGGAAGGCTCACCCCTAGCTCATGGCGGGTGTTATGCTCAATAAATAATAGCAATGATCATTATTATTTCTACGTAGAGACCAAGGTAAGGGAAACAGTCTTCCCTCACCTTCAAAGGAGACTGCAATCTGAGAGGCACCGGAAGGGCGGGTGGGGGAGCAGCATCCTCTCTGTCCTTCAGGACCATGGGCACCATAAAGGTCAGCACTGCTCAAAGCACCGTGTCCAGTGTGCTGGCTGCTTAAACAACTGCCTTCAGCGGCCTCCGCAGCAGCCCTGTGAGACTGGTAGTTACTGCACCCACTTTCTTGCTGGGGAAATCGAGGCTCCGAGAGGTGAAGTACTCTGCCTGAGAGCTAGGATTCAACCAGAATCTTGCTCTTAAGCAGCCTGGGTCCAACCCCGTGAACGGGACGTCTGCCCCAAAGGGCCGGCTTGCATCAGCTCTTTCAAAAGTGGGAACCCAGGAGGCAGCATCCAATTCAGACACCTCTGGAGGTCCCGGCATCAATGCTTGACCTCTTCCCAGCCAGGGCGGCTAAGGCAGAGCCTTTGGTTAGGAACTCAACAGTTTGGCTTGGTCCCTGGTCTCAGGTCCCTGCGAAGCTCTGGCACAGAGCCAGCCCAGGATATGGGTCTTGCTTTCCCCGGGGCCTCCCTGTGCAGCCTGGGGGCCTCGGCCTGAGGCCAGGTCTCACCAGCCAGCCACCACGCTGTCCTGGCAGGCGGCAGGAGCAGAGCTCACAGCCTCCCCCGCAGCCCCACCGTGCTGCCCTGGGCTGCTGGCACACACTCCAGAGCCTGGGAGGTGGGCCTCTGGCGGTGGAAGGGGGTGCCGGCCAGGCTCTAGTATCTCCGCGCAGGTGAGAGCAGGAACGTGCTGCTGAAAGGTGAAGAGGGCTCCACTGCTTCTGCATCTGCTTCCCCCTCTGGCAACAGCGCACCCATTTCCTTTGGGGATCCCTGTCCTCCGTTTTCAGAACATGTGGACGGGTGAGGCTGACCCCAGCACCCTCTGGCTTGTGGCATGAGCCCAGGCCTGGCCCATCAGAGCAACGCTTCCTGGTACAATGACTGGTTCAGAGACGGGCATGTAACCCAGCCAGGTCACTGAGATTCAAATATGGAACTTTTGTTTTTAAAAATTTGAGCAAGAAAAGATCCTTTTCTGCAGGGTGAGATGAATAGCGGGGCTCTCAGCCCCTCTGTGCTGCTGATATAAGAGAGTCTATCTGAGGTCAAAGCTGAAAGCCTCCTTGGAGTATCTGGAACCAGCCGTGCCTGAAGCCCACACACAGGGTGGGGCAAAAGTAGGCTTACGGTCGTTTGTATGGGAAACAATACAATAGTTAATAATTAATAATAACACAGGAATAACTCTGTGTTTCACATACAACTGTAAATCTAATTCTGTCCCTGCTGGTATATGAACCAAACGTTCCCTTTTATCCTTAAGCTGCTGTGAACTGAGATTCTGTTACCCACATTTGAAACAGAGTTCTGACTAATTTGAAGGCACTGGGCTGACCCTTGACAAACCTCTCTCCCTGGGCCAATAAGGGAACTGAGAGGTTTGGCTCATTCAGAGCTGGACGGGTCTACAGAGGTCACGGGACAGGGGCAGACTCCAGGGCAGGTCCATGAGTCTCCTAAAATGATGAGCAAAATTAACATATGTGTGCAACTTCCTGAGATGGCCCTCGTCGGGTTCTCAGAAGGGGTCCCCAGTGCCTGACACGCTCCCTGCCCAGGCTTTCCTGATGACTAAATAGACACAGCGCTGGAACAGGCCCGGCACGGAGAGACTCAGGAAGGGCCCCCGTCTCCGCTGTCCTCTGTATCCTTATTATATCAATGGCGCTGCTTGTGGTTTTTTGTTTTGTTTTTCATTCTTCCTGAACCCCCTGAAAATACTCTTCCCTCCCTTTGCCTTCCAAGCAGGGATCGCACTGGCTGATGTCTGTAGTATTCCCTTCTCCTTGATCTCCAAGGGGATCGGGTCTCGCTGGGAGCAGAGCAGGACCCAGGAGGCCTTGGGGTCATGCAGCCGCCCCGACAAGCGCTGACCTGTGGCGCGTCGCACACTCGGTGGCGATGTCCTCCAGGTGGAACTCAGCCCAGGGGTCGGGCATGTGCTTGGCCTTCTCCACGGCATGCTTCCAAGCTTCCTGCAGAGGGCAAAGGGCGTGTCAGCCAGGGGCTGCGGGACAGGGCGGTCCAGCCCCTCCAGCCCTGGAGTCCCGGGGCCCCCCACCCTGGGAGGCATCCGTGAGGGAGAAACAGCCCCATCCACCATCCTTTCAGGAACCTAGTCCCCGAAGGACCCTATCAGCTCATGGGCACAGTTCTCCTGGGTTCAGGCAGGCAAACGTTTTCACGATTGCTAACAGCGAGTGCTGGCCAGGGTGCGGGGAAACAGGGGGTGTCCCACATGCTGCCCCTGGGTGTGGGCCTGCTCTCAGAGGTGATCTGGTAACGTCAGAAAATAGAAAACGCAATTCTGTATTTTCACTCAGAGTTCTCCGTGCTAGGAACGTGTCCTATAGCGAGCAAACACAGTGGGCAAACCTGCCCGAGAGGCGCCATGGCTGCGGCTGTGCAGCTGACCCACAAGTGTTCCCCAGTTCTAAATGCACCCATTTCACTGCCCGGAAGGAAAGTCAGAGACAACATGACCCTCTCGGCTCAGGGCACCTCAAAACCATACAGAAGGTAGGTCGCCTTTACATAAACGTAGCGCTAGGTGCTTAGCGACAGGTTTCCATCGACGTGCCACGGCCTGGGGACCGGGGCAACCCACCGCCTGTGGTGCCCTCCCCTGCTGCGGCGGTGACGACTACAAACGCCATCCATCCGGAACTTTCACGGCTGCTGCGGGCCAGGCTCTTTGGGAGCCACCCAGAAAGATGACGAACAACAGAGAATTCTGGTTCTCAACTGCCTCATGGTACACCCCATTTTTTGTTTTAAAAACCTCATTTCATTGCTTTTACATAACCTCAAAGTGGAATCCTTCCCTGCCCCCACCAACAAGCACTCCCGACACCCACTCTAGGTGATCCTCTCCCTCCTTCCTGAGGAACCTGAACCTTTGCCCTGCGGCCACCACAGCATCAGAGACAACTCCCTTCCAGGCCCCAGGCCGGAGCCAGGGGAGGAGCTGGAGGGCGGCTGGACAATGCCGGGCATGGCAGCCCACCCGCTTCCAGACCTCCTCACCCCCGCACCATCCCTCAGCCACCAGACCAGCCCTGCAGAAGCCCGCCTCCCACAGACTCGGCCCAAACAGGACAGCATCCTGCCCGTGCCCTCCCCCGAGCCCATCGCTGGTCCTGCTCAGAGGAGACAGGGCCGAGGAGCTGAGCCTTCCAAGAGTCAGACAGACAGACAGGCACACACACGCACGTGTGCACACACACACACATACACGCAGCCCAGGGCTCCTTGCTGGGCTTTCTAACATTTCCAAAGTCAAAAAATAAAGCCTGTAATTTTTTTCTTTTAATTTGGAAGCTAATTCACATTTAATAAAAATACTTGGGGGGAAAGAGGAAAAATAAAACCAACTAAACAAGCAAAAAAAGAAAAATTTTAGAGAGAGAGGAAGGAGAGGGAAACATCCATGATAGAGAAACATCAGCATTGATTGGCTCCTCCTGCACACTCCCTCCTGGGGACTGAGCCTGAAGCGGGCATGTGCCCTGACTGGGAATTGAACCTCCTGGTGCATGGGTCGAGGCTCAAACACGCTGGCCAGCCCCGTGCATTTTTAAAATAAGTCTGGAATGGCACTCTCAGTGTAATTTACAGCATTGCAGGAGCATGGGTCGATGGGACTCGGTGCTTTTAGTTAGTGATCTTGAGTTTTGTCCTGACTCCAAAGGTGCCATCTGCTATCTACGTAAGACAGTGCAAGCACGGCAGAACTCTGGAGGAGGAAGCGGACGTGCTCTCTAACCCCCACCCCCGCACCCACGGCCACCGCGCTGCGGGCGCTCTGCACTGGCACGCCACGTCTGAGAGCCCCGCAGGCGCACATGCTCTGCCTGTGTCGGCTTAACAGCACCTAGAATGCCTTTCCGTGGCATATGGACACAGGCTGGTCGGCCTCACCTCCCTCAGTGGCTGTGAGCTATGTAATGTGTAGATGCACCTCGAGGTGCTTCTCCCTCAGTCTTGGGCAGCGGGATCCTCTCCGACACTTCCTAGTGCAGACAGTGCTGGAGGGACATCCTCGTGTGAGGACGTGCAAGATCTCAGGGGGATGAGCCTCTGAGAAGTGATTGCTGGATCACGTTTAAATTTACAATTTGAAGCTTTCTTCCAAAAAGGTTCTTCCAAGTTTACTCCAAGAGACAGCAAACATATTATTTAGAAATTTTAACACAAACATGACTGTGAATTTACAAGGTAGTTGGCATAAGGATCCATGGTATGGTTTATTGACTTGGCCATTCACCTATGACTCACCACAGGTAGACTTTGAGCTCTTCACTGGTTTTCCCTGTTACAAATAACCCTGCAGCTGACATGTTTACAGCTAAGGGGGTTTCTGAATTTCTGTACGCTACAAAAGGGAAGGCAGCGGCCACCTGTGTCAGCAGCCAGTAGGCTCTTTCTGAGCGTGCCTGTCCGGGTGCCCTGTCCTGTGTATGACACACAGCTTTCCAACCGCACCTCTCTCAGCTGGGGACTCAAACGCTCCCCAAAACACCAAAGACAGGGGCCCCACGTTAGATTACGAGCACCCACAGAAATCCCCTCCTGGCTGGAGGCTGTGGCACAACCAAAAACAGCCAAGGAGAAAGGAATTTTACAATTAGAGTGTTATTGTACAGCATGAAACTTGCCTTTTTTGCAAAACCCAGAAAAGACGCATGCTATGCCTTGTTGGCAACAGATGGGTTAAACCAACTGCATTTTATAAAAACAGAGTATAGAAAGTCCTATACTCAGACATGGTTCCCTTGACTCCCGTTCCCACCCAGCGCTGACTAGCTGTTGGAATATCCATTTCCTTGTTTACAAACAACAACGAAGAATGTTTTGACTACCAGTGGTCAACTTTTTCTTGCCCCCAAACCTGGGGTAGCGATGTTCCCAACAGAAATAGTGGCTCACTGAGGTCACAGTGCTCACTCCAGGTAAGCAAGCCCTCCCTGCGCTGAGAGTCACAGGTGTACTACTTACCCATCAGGTTAGGAAAAACAGGCGTGTATGGGTGCCTGGGAAGTGAGTCCTCTCAGACACTGCGAAGGCAGTGGGAGTGGGTACTGCCGCCACTGGTTGTGAAACGTCCTCGCTGACGTGGGACCCAGCCGTCTGACCACCGCTGGGTGTGCGTGGGGGAGCTGGCCCCGAGAGGCGGACACTGGTGCACGGTGACGTTCCGTCGGTGACAGTGGTCCCATAGGGTTCCAATGGAGCTGAGAATTCCCACCAGCTGTTGCGCCATCGTAGTGCTTGATGATGACCGTAAGTGACTATGCTGCTCATTTATGTGTTTACTATATACAGGTTTTATTGTTATTTTAGAGTGCACTCTTCCTACTTTTAAAAAGTACACCTCCTGTTCACCGCATCTTTTGATTGCAGCGTTTTCTCTCGTGCTGGATTTAATCTCATGTTGCTTTATAAGTTCAGCGAGAGTACAGTGCTTCCGAAGTCTGCAGTAGTGGGCAGGGTGTCGCTCCCGCACACTCACTCACTGCCCCCCACAGCGGCTTCCAGTCCCGCAGGCTCCCCTCATGGTAAGTGCCCTAAAGGGTGTACCACCTACAGTATTCAGTACCAGCTGCACGGGCATACAGCTGGGAGCACCAGGCTCTGCCATGCAGCCTGGGGTGTAGCAGGCTGTCCCCTCCAGGGGTGTGTAAGCGTCTCTAAGATGTTCACACACTGACGGAATTGCCTAACGAGGCGTTTCCCAGAACGCACCCTGTTGTTAAACCACACATGACTGTACTTGCACACAGCCGTTCAAAAGATCAAGGTGCTGACATGGGCAATCTCTAAGACTTATTGTTTAGGGGAAAAAGTAAGTTGCTACATAATGCAAATCATATAACCCTATTTAATGGTGGCGGAAACCCATAAGTTGCTATCATAGGTTTCTAAGGGTGTATGTGTCTGCAAATCTCTACATATAAAACCCTAAGCGACCGAACGCCCAAACAACCGAACTGCTATGACATGAACGCAGGAGCTGCCCCCTGATGGTCAGTGCACTCCCACAGCCAACCTCCTGCGGTCCCTCCCCCAGGCCAGGTCCCTCCCCCAGGCCAGCCGCCCCCCTCCCCACCCCCCCGCCTTCCCATCAGCCCTGATTGCCGGCCAGGCCAAGGAACCCCACCTGTGCACGAATTCATGCACTAAGCCTCTAGTATATACATAAAAGTCTATTTACATATAATGCATTTAAAAAGGTCTGAAAAGTGACTTCCACCAAACAGATACATGATTCTCTCTGGGAGCAGAGGATGCGAGGTTAATGGAGACCAGTGTCCTCTGCACTGTGTGTGTTTTAGCTTTGAGACTGTCTTAGGGATCACACATGTAAATCAAAGCCCACAGAGGCCACTGGGAGGTGATTCTGCAGGCCCCGCAGCTCTCATTCTCTGGTTCTGAAGACCCCAAAACTCACCTGTGAGGGCTAACGCACCTTGCACGGGCAGGACTCGGGGTTTCATGAAAAGGAAAGCAGACCTTGCCTAGAGAACAGAAAGGGTTTGGTTCTTCAAAGCTGGAGAGCACAAAATAAAAATGTAACAGAAATAGTGAACATAAGTCTCCGGGGGTATCAGGAGGAGGCTGGATGTGAGTCATGTGTCTGCAATGTCTTTGCCACCCAGGGTGTCGTGGCTGCTGTTTGATGTCACTCACTGCCCCCAAGGCCTCCAGAGGGCACAGAGGCCCCAGTGGCTGCTGGAGGCCTTCTCCTCCAAACGGCAACTGTTGCCTTCGCCAACTGGGCGTTACAAAGCGTGTTTTTCCATCCTCACTTCCGTGACATAGAGCTGTGGCCCCGCCCCTCCCAGCCAACAGGAAGCCACGCCCAAGGACAAATCAAAGAAGTGGGAAGAAGTGAGGACACAGTTAGTCACACTCTGGGATGAGAAGAGGCCAACAGTGCTGACCGCTGCCCGACCCTGGCCACACGCATTTAGAG